GCCCAGCAGGTCGAGGCTGCAGTGGCCGGAAGCGGCCACTGCACTCCAGTCTGGGCAACAGAATGAGACTCCAACTCAAAAAACAACAACAACAACAAAAAACTTAATCTCGTCATCTATAAAATTGGAAAAATAATAAATGCCCTTTTTTCTTCATCTGATCATTTTTGAGGGTAAATTCTATCCAAAATGTTGGATTCAAAACATTTTGGAGCCAGAGAACTGAGTTTTATTCCATGGGTACACATAAAGATCTCATCAGCCCATCTCCTAGTAGATATGTCCATAAATACAAGAAAAGAGTGAGTGGATCAGTACAATCCATAACCCTTGTTGGAAAACAGTTTAAAATTTATCACCTACTAATGTGGGATCATTTTCAAATACAAAGGAGAGATTATTATGCTAAATGTGGATACCCTTAGACCTATTCCAAATCCCAGTTGGTATTACTTAAAGTACTGTGACCTATTCTGTTTTTGATTTTTTGTTTTTTTGTTTTTTGTTTTTTTGAGTTGGAGTCTCTGTTGCCCAGGCTGGAGTGCAGTAGTACACTCATGGCCACTGCAGCCTCGACCTGCTGGGTTCAGGCGATCCTTCTAACTCAGCCTTCCAAGTAGCTGAAACTACAAGTGTGTGCCACCACACCTGGCTAGATTTTTGGTTTATTGTAGAGACGACATCTCCCATGTTGCCCAGGCTGGTCTCTAACTCCTGGGCTCAGGCAATTCTCTCACCTCTGTTTCCCAAAGTGCTGGGATTACAGGCATGAGCCACCGTGCCCGGCTTGCTGTGACCTATTCTAACCTTTAAGCATTTTCTGATGGAACAAAACAGACGATGGAGGTGAACATAAGTGATTTTTTTGATTCAGAAACTTCCTTTTTAGTCTTAAAGGATTATGTCACATCTTTGCTTTTGTAACTGGTAATACAAGGAATAAATGGATGTAGTATAATCCTTCTATCCTACACTCCAGCCTGAGTGACAGAGTGAGACCCCAACTCAAAAAAAAAAAAGGATTATATGGATTATATGTTTCCTGTGGGCAGGAACTATGGTTTTCTCGTATGTTTAATCATCCTGGTAACTAACCTAACACACTGTAAGGGCTGAGCAAATATATGGGAAGTGAAAAATGTATCCCTTTTGTTACCTCCACACCGTATTCTCTTCAGTATGACTTGAAGTTTATATGGGGGACATGGCATTTCTAGAGCAGTGGTTCACAATCCTGGCTGAATAATAGAATCGCCTGAGAACCTGATTTTAAAAAGTGATTCTTGGCTCCACTCAGATGAATGTAAATCTCTAGGTGAGATCCTGAGCATCAGTAAATTTTTAAATTTAGTGTCCCAGGTAATTCTAATTTGAAGCCAGATTTGAGAACCATTGTTCTACACTAGAGCTGTAGTCGTCAGCCTTGGTTTCACATTGGAGTCACTTGGAGAACTTTTAAAATATTGATCTCCTGAATCACTGAAATTCTGGTTCAGTTCATCTGGGCTACACTCTAAGCAGGGCTAGGGGCACTGGGGCGGGGGGCGGGGGGCGGGATCCTTCCACACTCCTGAGCTAATTCTAATGTTTAGCCAAGATTGAGAATCACTGATCTAGAGCAGTGGTTCCCAAACATTAATGTGCAGCAAAGTCATCTGGAGGGCTTGTTAAAGATTGCTGGACTCCCACCCCCAATTTTTGATTCAGCAGGTGTAGGGTGGGGCCCAAGGATTTGGATTTTCTGCATGATTCCAGGTGATACTGGTTCCATGCTGCTATCAGGCTTACACTTTGAAAACCACCGATCTTCTACCTCTCAGAATTTAAAGTGCTGTTGAACTCCCTCAGCTCTTGTTAAAATACAGATTCTGTCTCCTCGGTAAGTCCGGACTGAGACTCACCATGTGCGTTTCTAACAAGCTCCCAGGTGATGCAAGGCTGCCAGTCCATGGACCACACTTTAATTAGCAAGGGGTTAGAATAAAGAACATAAAGGTTTTATCAGAAATCAAAAAATCAAAATTGTATAAATCAGTATCCACAGAGCTATGTTTTCAGTGGCTGATAAGATTATTCAGTCCAAGACCAGGCGCGGTGGCTCACACCTATAATCCCAGCACCTTGGGAGGCCAAGGTGAGATGATTGCCTGAGCCCACGGGTTCGAGACCAGCCTGGGCAACTTGACGAGACCTCATCTCTACAATAAATCCAAAAATTAGCCTGTAGTTCCAGCTACTTGGAAGGCTGAGGCGGAAGGATCGCCTGAGCCCAGCAGGTCGAAGCTGCGACAGAGTGAGACTCTGACTCAAAAAAAAAAAAAAAAAGATTATTGAGTTCATTTGTGGGTTAGAGGTGAAAAGATGAGGTGCTGGGTATGGAGGCTATTATTTTAGATCAAACAGTATCCATCTGGAAGTTTTTAATACTTGAATATCTTGTTTTCCCCTTGTAATTTCTTTGGAAGAGACCACAAATGTCGTACAGTTGGGAACATTGAAAGGTTAAGTGGCTTATGTTATTGAGTAAATTAATAAATATTAATTACCATTGCATAACCAGGAAAACCCAGCTTTCTAATATATCATTTTGTTGCAAACATTTCTATCCAGCAAAATCTTACAGGGTCTTAAGGTAGTATATTGTGTTTGGGAAAACTTGAAAGTAAGCCTACGTTTGCAACATCCTAATAAATATGTCAACTTTTTCTTAAAAAGAAATTGAAAAACTGTTAAGTTGTTATGAAAAATAAAGCAAGACTAATAAAGAAAACTGGAAATTAAGAGTAATGAGAGAATATAGCCCTACTAGATAATATAGTATATTATAAAGCCTCAATAATTAAATATGAGGGTAATATGCATAAACAGAAAGAAAAATGTAACATAACAATAGAAAATCTAGAAATAGAACCAAATTACATGTGGGAATATATGATATTATATAATGATTTGAAGCAGCATCTCAAATCAGTGACAAAATGATGGACTATTGAATAAAACAACTGAATAGCTAACAGAGAAAAAATATAGTTGGATCCATATCTTATATCATGCAACAAGATAAATTCCAAATGGATCATTATTTAATTTACTTTTAAAAATTATGGCTGAGTGCAGTGGCTCATATCTGTAATCCCAGCACTTTGGGAGGACAAGGCAGGAGAATTGCTTGAGCCCAGGAGCTCAAGACAACCTGGGTAACATAGCGAGACTTCATCTTTACAAAAAGTCAAAAAATTAGGCCGGGTGCGGTGGCCCAAGCCTGTAATCCCAGCACTTTGGGAGGCCGAGATGGGGGATTGCCTGAGCCCACAGGTTCAAGAACAGCCTGGGCAACTTGGCGAGACCTCATCTCTATAATAAATCACAAAATTAGCTGAGCGTGGTAGCGCCTGCCTGTAGTTTCAGCTACTTGGAAGGCTGAGGTGGAAGGATCACCTGAGCCCAGTGGGTCAACACTGGGGTGGCTGTGAGTGTGCCACTGCACTCTAGCCTGGGCAATGGAGTGAGACTCCAACTCAAAAAAAAAAAATTAGCCAGGCATGGTGGCGTGCGTCTGTAATCCCAGCTACTCAGGGGCTATGGCAGAAGAATCGCCTGAGCCCAGGAGGTGAACACTGTAGTGAGCCACAAGCATGCAACTGCACTCCAGTCTGAGCACATCAGAGTAAAATCCCAACTAAAAAAAAATTTTAAATAAAAATTAAATCAAAAAAATTCTAGAAAAAATATGGGAAAATTCTCCTATAATCTTGAAATGTTTTAAAATGTAGAATATATTAAAAATTGAAGCCAGACAGTGGCTTTTGTAATTCCAGCACTTTGGAAGGCTGAAGCGAGAGGATTGCCCAAGCCCTGGGGTTCAAGACCAGCCTGGGATACTTGGTGAGACC